GATTCACAAGGGAAGCATGGATAAAACCAGGGAACCGGAGTACTAACGTAACAGTAAATTTTGGGAAGGATGTGCTTTCAACTTTGTGGGAACATAACAAAAATTTTATTGTAGGTTTGGAAAATAAACAATATAATTATGATTACATAAGTAAATATATTAAATAAATAAATACATTATACAATTAATATCTAAATAAGCTATATATAAATCACCACTACATGATTCTCGTAATAAATCGTTACTCTTATTTCAATTTTTGTCCGAGAAGACATTTTAACATAAAAAAAGTCACCAAGACAAGGGTAAGGTATAGGTACGTAATCCAAGCGAGGTTAAACCTAAAAAGGCAAAGCAAGTGTTCTCAATATGAACATAATGTGTTGGAGTCAAGGTGTACGACCTACAAGCAATATTGGATTGAACGCACTCGGAACAGACAATTCAGAATATCGTAGACCGTACGCGGTAATGATTCACTCTACAGTTAGATTGGGTGTCAACGCACTTCACATTTGTTGCATGGAAAAGCGACGTAAGGATGAGACGCGGGCGCAAGCCGGGTGCGCCACAGACTAAAGCTCCTTTCCTTCGTTGCACCAGCTGAGGGGCGAACGGCCGAGCCCACCAGAAATAGCACCCGGCAGTACAGGGATGCCCCAATGACGAATGCCGAAATGGAACACACGAAGCTTTGTTCTAACACAATGAAGATTAGGTTTCAAAATAACTAGCCGTCGCCTGCTACTGTGAGCAAGTTAACCGAGTATTTAAAACTACATAAAAACACAAAGAAAATGGATCTATCTCTAAAGGCGTCTAGTAAACGTCTGAAGGTGAGAACAAAGTTTAGGAAAAGTATAACAACATGCTGTAATGCTGCCAAATATCAAGATGGCACATTGCGCATACCAAATTGGATTTTTGCCAATTTTTCGTTGGATGTTAGTTGTGTGGTTGCAAATACAATATCATTAAATGTTTTAGGACATTGAAATAAATTATCTATCATACACTTATGGATTCTAAACCTAAAAGTAATATTTTCCTCCCTCAATCCTGTTGTACATTATGTCTGGCTGAGCACATGGGTATCTCATGAACCTTCTTCCTTCAAACTTGAAATTTTAACTGAGCATTTCTATTGATGCTATAATAACAACATATATACACACAATTCAAGAGTCAGAATATGCAATTATACAGCATATTGCATTATAAGAATATATTGGGCACAGCAAGCCAGCAGTAAATTTGCCTATTGAAAAGAGAGACTGTAAGGACATCTACTGCTTTATTATATAATAGTACCACATTTGAAGGACTCTACTAAAGCCTCATTTGGACTTTTTGCTTTCAATATGTCGGATCTTAAGACATCCTTAGGATTGCATATCATGCCTGGCATTACTTGGGGACTAAAGACACAGCCAGCAAATTATTAATAAGTTGCTTATTCCAGTCCTTATCTGATAGTAGGAGTTCATCAACCCTGGTAGCTACCATCTTTGCAGGGGAAATACGGCAGGGGATTAAAAATTACAAATTATTTTCAAGGTAAATCCTATCTTCTAAACTTTCATAAGTTAATATAGTGTTAATAATATATCACATAGGGGTAATTAACTATCACAGAATTGTTTAATATATGGCTGAAAAAAGGAAACAAATTAAGTAAATTTTATAACTCACCAGGAGAGAGTGACTGTGTAGTCACCTTATGAAACCTACTCACTGAACAGTTTGTGTCGCTTTAACTTACAAATTACAGTGATTTAACATCTTCTACGGTTTAAGTATCACTAACTTAAAATGCTTTAGTAGACTTGTTTCAATTTGAGAAAAGTGTACTACTAATTATGGACAGAGAAAGAGAAGGTATATAACTACCTGTATGTTAAACTAAAAATGTAAAGAGAACAGGCCAGGGCACAGTGTTTTATGGAACCAAAAAAATTTACATGTTCAGGTTTTTACATAAATAGATTATTTATACCTTAAAAAAGGCATGAGTTCAATTCCCAGAAGTCTAACTCAAATACTTTTTGAGAAAAAAAATCATGAACTTATCGTGACCTTTGACCTATGAAATCTAGAATATTTTTTTATAAAGTGTATATTAACAATATATTTTTTTAATAAATATGTGTCAATCGGGCATAATCAGAGGCGTATAAACGCGTTTCTTTAGCTTAAAAAAATGCATTGGTTTGGGAGCAGAATTTTTTTTTTGTATTTCGTATTTATTGTTTTTTCTCCCTAAAAACGAAAAAGTGGAACTTAGAACTTCGATAGAAATAAACCTACGGATGTGGTCTATCATACATAAATAAGCCACGTGTCACTTTTGCGGCGATTAGAAGATATTCATTTTTAAATTTTTATGCTAGGGTTGACACCGAACCTGACCTCGAACGAAAATTTTTAAAATATAAATTTGTGTATTAGTTTTGAACGAGTTTACAATAATGTAGATTTTAGGAACTTACTACCTTTAACATATTTTTATGGGCTCCAAGCTCTATTTGCAAAAAAGGAACGCTTATGGTGATTCCCAGTCAAGGCGGAAGTCATTATAATGAATATCGATTTTCGTTTTCGGGTCTGAGTATTAACTATTAATTGTTTGTTTTGTGTGTGTGTTTTGGAGACCCAATTAGACACAAGTTCATGCCTGCTTACCTCTACGTTTTTTTTTGTAACAATAATAGTTACACCTACTAACTGATTTATGCCCAAGATTTGTTTTTATTTTCTGATCGAATGCCTGAATGATTCTGAATGAATTTTGAAATTTTTTTCAAGCAACATAGTTCATTTTTTCGTTACCGTTTAGCGTGTAAGGTACAACGTTAAAATGTGGTCGAACAAACATAGAGTATTCCTACATTATCACATCTACATTAGGTAGGTACCTAGTATATGTAAGTATATTGTATTCGTCCACAAGTGTTGTTAATTTATTAAATTGATTGACGGTATTAATTAACAAACAAAAAATTTAACATTTTCATTTAACTCATAGTTGACCTTTGTGACAATCCTAGATCATGAAAGTTGACCTTTATCTAAATTCTGTCATAACTTCTTAAAACCGCAAAAGTGAAACCTGATTTTTTTATGGGTGATAGAACGATTTTTTTATGGCCGATATTTGGAGAAAAAAATTAAAAATTGAAATTTAAAAAAAAATATTTCTCGGAAACTAGGACACTTATAAATAAAATAAAATTGCAAAATTATGCCTTCAATAATTCCTTATCAAGTGGCAAATATCTCATGTACAGATATGGAACCGTCTTTTGAGGAAATTAAATTGTTAATTTTTTAATGCTCAAATTTCAAAAACTTTGCTACTTCATATCTTTTTTTTTAATGGAAATAGTGATCTGAGAATTGAACTCTTGCCTTTATTAGGGTATAAATAATTGATTTATGCAAAAATCTTAAGGTGTAAATTTTTTTGGATCCATAAAACACTGAGCAGGGTTGACTTTTTTAGACTTAAATATGGAATTTTAGGAAAACTTAGTTTAATTGGGTAATAAATCATAACCCTATTTATAAAACATTAGGATGCTGCAATAGGGTATTTGACAAGTTGTAGAAAACGATCTCACGTTATTGACTAATGTTTATGGAGTCTGTAAAAAGTGGATATTCATCATTCTGTTGGGTCTTTCAGTAAAAATATCCAAATCAAAAACTCAATTTTCAAGTTGCCGCGAAAATGCTTCACTGGACAATATAGCGTCTTACTAGTGTGTGACGCCACGACTGTTAATGTAATGTCACTTTAACCTGAATATAACTTGCGTGTGACGTCATTTTAGGCTCCGCCAATCCCTAGCGTTTTGGGTCACGTAACAAAAGATAAGAAAACTAATATCTATTTCGAGGGTTTTTAGTAAAATTATGAATATTTTTTGTAAAAATAGTAAAAACCCCTGCCAATATTCAATCTAACACAGATGCTAACAATTGGCACTTTATTTTAATACTGTCAAATACCCTATTAATTGCTATTTTATTATCACTCATTTTTCTATAGCTGGCAGGCAGCATTAAAACTATCTTCGTAAAACTTTTCACCAAAGTATAAAAACCAACTTAAAAAAAAACTTCAAAATTCAAAAGAAGAATAATTATTGAGTGAAAGTCTAGCACATAAATGTTTAGAAAAAATATAATTAAATCACACTGACTGTTGTCATTAGGAGTTCATCAGATCTCAACCCATAAAGCTATCTTAAAAGAAAACTGATTTAAACAAGGAACAAATCATCAAATGAAGTCCATATTTCTCAGTAATGTGCGGTACTAACAAATGTAATTACTAACCAATTGAGAATCACATCCTTTTAAAGCCAGCTACAAATTTGATTGACACTACCAATTTTATGAATAGTGGCAAATAATAAACATCCTCATTTAAGTCTTTCGCTTTGCAAAAAATATTATATTTCTAAATATTTGCATTAAGTTACTAAGTTTACAGTTTGTATAGTACAAAATTTTGATGTGTACAAAAAATTATTTATTTTAGTCCCCATTAAACTTAAAATGTTTATATTAACAGTTTTTTATATTGAAGAAAATAATTGAATCAAAAGAATAGTGTAGTTCTATGAGCATGCCGCTCATTCTGAAAAGTTTTTGGGTACATAAATAATTATTAACAAATTGGAAACCTCATTAATATCACCTTTAAGATAACACCGCTTTTATAAGAAATCCTAGGTACAACTTGTGTTATGCATCGGAGTTAGAATGCATTAACTTTTAACAATTATTTACATGCAATTTTTGCAAGTGCGTAGACATGAATTTAGTACTTGATCTTCGGTCTAACCAGATGGATCACTAAAAAATCATTTGTCATATAATTACCTACAAAGTGCATAAGTTTATTTTTGTCTTATATTCGAACAAAGGGTTATCATGAAAAGAGACGTCACCGATGAAAAATCTTTGGCAGAAAAAAAATACAAAATACTCACATCACTAATCGAGAAATAATCGCCGATATCATATTAGAAACACATGAAAAATTCACTCTTCAGAATCACAAAAGAAAACATTACAAAACACAACCATTCAGTAAAAAGTCAAATCCGCCATGTTGAATTAGACTGATGTTTTGATCACGTGACCTCGATAATCAATATGACATTTCGAACAATGAGCGCCATCTCTTGAGAATATTTTAGCTAACCAGTCTTAACCAAAAACAAACAGAGAGCGAAATGCGATGTCATGGACCAATAAATTTACCATCGTTTTAATATTATATCTACTGTAAACTCAGATCAAATAAAAAAGTCATAATATAATAATGTACCGTTTTTCTATCTTAGCAATCCAAGCCTTATTAAGTACGTGTTAATGTTATTATATTGATTAGATACTCTAAAATCAGACGAAATAAGTCAAGATGATTGCCAAATATTTTATTAGATTTTTTATTACACAGCTTCATTTTCATTCATGACCCCTGGAAAAAGGCTAAAATAAAGTTGCAGTTTCTGATAAAATTTGCATAAAATGCAGTGCATAATAAAAGTGTAATAGCGCCATCTAAAGTTCCTACATAGTACTAAAATGTCAGTCTTAAAGTTTGCTATTTGTGTAAAGCTACTCATATTCTCAGTTTGGTAGTATTGAAGGTAGGTATGATTATAATCCTTCTGAATTGAGGGAGCGTACCATGCCCGTATGACAATACCTAGCGTTAGCGCTCTTTGACTTGTGGGTATTTTATGTTACGTTCTGCAAAGAAGATACGATTTTGTATTTTCCACGTAGATGACGTAAGTAGGTACCTATCTAGTTAGTTTCCCTTCGCAACGAAGAAAGTGAGTTGTGTTGTGCGTTTTGGCGCAGAGTTTTTGACGTTTGTGTAGTTTTAAAGTGAATAATGTGATTGTGTAGTTCGTTATGGCCTATAAATACCGTGAAGATTTAGTTGGCAAACGATTTCTGTCTGTGAGTGGTGTAACGAAAATTAATGTGAATAAAGTTTCGGAATGGGGGTGGAAAGCTGGTGTTATCAGGGCAGCATCACTCAAAGATAACAAGAATAAGGAGCTTCAGGTAACATTGGCGTATATTAGAAACTATCTGTTAAATAGATCATCAGTTTAATTCATAAAAACTTTCAGCGAAGTCGGTTAATGTTTTTGCTCCAAATTTTACCTTCACGTAGGTATAACTACGTAAGGTAGGTTTCGGTACTTTAGGCCGCCAAAATAGGTCCTTTAAACGTTAACAACTTATATTTCGAGACTTAAATTGATTATATTCCATAAATTATGAATACTTATTGCCTTTTCCGAAGTCTATTAGGAGTTTCATTTCAAACCGTTGTAGGTAGAATTCTAAATCTTAATCTAGACTTAGCTTCTACTGTTTGGCTGCGAAATGCTGCAATTCAATCTCTCATTATTAGACACATGAAAACTCTTACTGATATATCTGACGATAAAGTACAAAAAGCCGTTATATAGTATAGATATTAATTAGGAGCTACCTCCAACAATTATCTATAATTTTACGTTCGATATTAATGGCAGTTAACACCCTTTTTGGCTGTACAAAGTAAAGAAATAAGAAAATCTCCGTCATACTCAGAATACAGAACAAACGTCATACAAATAACTACAATGTGTCTTTTTTTTCTACATTTTTATTGCCCAACGCCTGCCCTATCCAAGTACGTAGGTACCTATTCAAGTGAGGCAAACTCCAAATTATCAAAATGGACTTCAGTTCAGTTCGCTTCTTCTATAATAATAAATAGGATACATAATATTTTGTTGACTCACTACTGTATTTAATTAGCTTTTACAAAATGAAGTGCATTGCGTTCCTTCAAAAAATTTGATCCAACTAGACCAGCTAGACCTTTTTATTAGTATAGAGCGCAAATAGAATCCCACAGTCTCTTTGTCCATCCATCAAAACATTGACCCATCTGTCTTATCTCATGAATTGTCATGGGTTGTGTATTTAAAAACTGATGCAGATTAAAAAGAAACAAAATTTCGTTTATTAGCTACAGACCTAACTGTGTATGTATGTAGTTAGATCAGCTAACATTTCTTCGGTGTTCTTTGCAGTGGTAGCTCGACCACAATAATTTCTGTGTTTAAAACGTTATCAACCTTGTACGATAATTTGTAACCCTTCGTGTTCGGATCCGACTCGCTCTTGACTGGTGTTTAGGTTCTTCGAGTTCTCTTACTTGCTCCTAGAAAAAAATATTCAGTTCATCATTATTAATTTTAATCATAGATAAATGATTAGTCTTAGCCGGGTCAACCGAAGGGAGACCAATCATTTATATATAAGTTTTTAAAGTATATTTTATAATAGGGAAACCCTGATCTTGTGTTTAATTTTAACATTAAAAATTGTACCAAATCAAATGCACATGATGGCTGGTTCAACGACCTCGCTCTCACCGCCGCGTTCGATGCAACGACCACCGACTGTCGGTCGACGCGCCCGCCGCCGCCGCCACCACCGCCGCCGGCCGTCGTGGGTACGCATCTTTCGACTTGCTCGGTGTACAGTCGAAAATCGTGTCTAGAGGAATTAACAAAAAAGTGTGGCCCATCGAGTACACTTTCATGGTTGAACAAACTATAGGAAAAAAAACCTTCAATTTAGACACTTAACAAATTATCAATTGTTCTCTATTCTACTATGATATTACTGAAATCTGTATTTGTTATTCTCTGATTTTTTTTTATTATTTTGTAGGTATGTCACGACATTTATTAAAAAAATTTGATTTAAAAAATTAAATCTGGTTGATTGTTACCTTAATACCTATCTGTTACAATATTATAATGGGTTTTCTCATACAAAGTTGATTACTACATTCTTACCTATTTGTGTTGTGTTGAAATAATGTGCAGTAACGAACGGCCATCGATAGTTGAAAATGTTAACAATGAAACCTCATTATTGGCAGAATTTTGATCTACCTTTTATAACTATTGTCGATTGTTACTTGGAAACGAATAAGATTAATTAAACGTTTTAACGACATAAGCATCTCATTTACATAATGCAAATATGGGTACATAAAAGCATATTACTATAACATGTTTCAAATTAATTTAGGTTCTTTCGGTTTAACAATATAAACTTTGACAAAGCATAGCATAAATGTAAATATCTGTATGCAGACAGATACATTGAAGATATCCGTTATCTCCTCTACTCTTAAAATGTTATTTAATTTACTGTCGTTCTATTTATTTGATAAGTGAAACGAAAGATAATTATTTTGATAAACACCACTGAGCGTCTGACGCAATGTGCAACTGCACATTATTGGCCACTGACTATCACGGTACAGCAGACATGCAGGCAGGAGGTCGGACAGTAGCACTGTGTTTGTGTGTTCAAAACATTCAAAATGAAAAGACACGACAAAATCGCTGCGAGGTGTCCGTACATTTCTCGCCGTTTATAAATAACATAATCTTGTACCATTGCGTTCTGTCTGCTCTCCCACCGAGTGAAGAGCGCCAGATCAGATTCAACACGTTGGGCTATTATAATATAACACACAGGTTATTTGTTTATATTACCTACGCATCTCGAATCGCGCTCGAATACTGGTTTCACTTGAACTGCGATAAGTTTATTTGCAACTGCTTATTCACAGATTTTTTTAAAGAAACTAAGAAAGTGATAATATCACTTATAAGGCGTTCTTATAGAATTTTATTGTTAAAAACACCTATTAAAATCTGTCGTGACATATTTGTTTACTTTTGCACCATTATTACTTGCGATGACGTCTTGACATGTTTCTTGCCATTTATGATACTTGTTATTTCTAAGTTGGCCATGAAAGATGAAAATTATTTCTAGAACAATGTAACTCATGATTACTACCTGCTACAGTACCAGTACGTATAATGTTATGTGTTCAGACAGAATATCTATGGTTTTTATAAGTAAGTAATATTAACAGAAAAGGTTTAAATAGCATTCGCTCGATCGCCCAGTCGTTTCACAATAATTAAATCCCATGCAATGCAAGGCGAAGCAAATGTGAAAGTGCAATCATGGAATGTTCATTACATCATCATTACATTTTAACTCGATTCTTTTTCTTAGAAGTACTAGCTGCAGATAATAACTTATTTATTATCTCGAATCACCGTATGAATTACGATAAACCACTAATCTTTGTGCAAAACGTCAAGGGAGGTTACAGCCAGAGGAACATTCATTTAACTCTCTGTGCTGTGTATTACTGTTTGTAACACGAAAAGTGTTTTAATGATTATTATCTATTTGACTTGTCTGATATTCATTAACTCAAGATATAATAGTATAGTAATAACCGAAGGTTGGCTCGAGTCATTATTATTATGCTTAGAACCAAAACTTTGTAATGGAACTAGTTTTATGAGACAAATATTTTTTTTCTCATGTGTCTGAAAACAAAACGAAAATTTCTGAATATCACAAAATATAGAATTTAAGTACACTTTATTGAACTTACATTTTCTTTATAAATCTATTATCCTTATAAACTCTTGAGCTTTTTTGTATTTGTTTTGATTCAGTTATTCTTCCTTAATTTAATTAAATATGTATAATGAAAGCGTTCATCTAAAGTTAGGCGGTATGAAGTTCGCCGGGTCAGCTAGAATTTTATTGAAAAAGACAATATTTTCGTCATCCCTTACGCTAAAGTGTAGGCACAGCTTTTTGAACAAGTAAAGGCATAAAAATAACATTTAAAAGGTCGCTCCAAAAACGATGCTTTAAACCTACATTACTGAAAATATCCGGCTAAATAGCGTTATTAATCCTACTACCTATAAATTTGTTTTTTACTCAATCACGCAAAAACCACAGAATGGCTTTGAATGAAATTTGGTACGCATATAGTTTATGACCTGGATTAAGACATAGGATACTTTTTATCCCGGATAAGTGATAGATTCCTGAGGGATTTTCAAAAAACTAAATTTAACGCTGAAGAAGCCGCGGACGGCCTCTAGTACTTACTAAATAAATCAGTCATGCAGTTATGATATGAATAGAAACATTATTTCATGACAAGGAATGGTGGCCTCGGGATATATTTTATTAGTGATACCACAGTTTTTCAAAAACTGGGGCGATATGTCAGTTACGTACTACGCCTAATAAAAGGCATGTAAAAAATCTTTCATTTGGTTGGTAACTATAATTAATTTGAATCTATTTCGTTGATAAAGGTATTTTTCATTTAGCTTCAATTTAAAATAAAAAAGTTTGATTCAACAAACATATTTAATCATTAATAATATAATATAAGACAGGAAAAAATATTCATAACATTCTGTGGCAGGCACTAAATACAAAGCAAAATATCGATCAATATTTGTTGTAATTTTATTTCTAGCTATTCGAATCTAAAGCTTTTTAATGTAAAAATGTATGGCATCAATCTTGATAGTTTGTCGAAGTTTACGACAACTACATCACATATTTAATTAAGTATTGTAATGTAAATTTCATACTTTCTGTCTTTTTGCCAAAAGTAACGTTATGATGACGGACGGTGTACTACTGAGTAATTAAACAAAGTAACAGAAAAATGTCGTTGCGACATACAGAGTGTTGTTGACCTGTGTTGTAAAGTGCTATTGCACTGGTAATGGCCGCGTCCATCCATATAATATATATCTATAAAATTATATTAGGTAGAAAACTAAAATTTTACGTTGCTCACAGATTTTAGTTCTCTTCTACTCAACTATGCTACACACCCATAACGTTTTTTGCAGTAACTAATTCACTGAAGCGAATGGATAAAAAACACAACCTTCAATTATTTAAATGGCGGTCAAAGCATTGACAAAACAATACAAAAATTTAGTAGTTTTAAAATGAAAATCTAATTCGTGTACAAAATTACTTCTTTGAATTCAAGGGACTTCAATCAAAGAAAGTTATTGATAAATTTCTAATACCATGTATTAATTAATCATAGGACTTGTTTACATTCCTGCGTGCTTAAAAAGTTTTTCCTACACGTATTAATATAAAGATGATACATATTTTTATCCATATAT